TCATAGGTATACTAACTTAGTACTACTAAGTGATATAAAATAAAAAAACTACTTGCTTAGAACTAACAAGAAAATTAATACACTTGTAACATAATCAGTCTAAGACATAGTTGCACTCTATAGTCCAACTTTTTGATTATGATTATATCCACTGACCAATTCAAATGGTTATTTATAACAAATTGTGCAGATGCACTGAACATTTTGTTTTATGAGGCCAAGTTGTATTATAACCAGTAAAATAACAAGAATATCTTTCCTTAGCTGTAATGATATGATATGAAATGTATATGATTAAAAATCAAGAAGGGGCTGTTGAAACTATTTGAATAAACTGATAAAACAAACTATTGCATTGCTGAAATTGCAATTCAAGGCATACATACGTTAGACATTCGAAATGTGCAATATTAATCTCTAAAGGTGTTCATTTCCCTAAAGGAAGACCTAAAGGAGGCCCAGGGCCTCAAACCAGTTTGAAGTCGCACTGGGCAATGCGAAGGTAAGTGCTCGCGGGCAAAGGTGAGTCGGGAATTGTTGGTGCACAGTGTACATACAACAGCAGAACGCACCAGAAAATTGCACGATTCCCCCATAACCGAGAAGAGGTCGAGGGGCAAGAACCCCTGCCACAGCCGCCATAAACTCAAACGATTGCCGGAAGACCCCGCAGAGCCTGCGAACTGACCTCGAGGAGGCGGGCCGAGGCTCCACTCCCACGCAGCCGCACGCACCTCGCGAACAAGCCGGGGAGGCTGGCTAACTCCAGTCGGGAGAAACACATGTCCATGGCCCCTGAGGTACCTGCCTGCCTCCGAGGAGGAGCGGAGCTGGGTGCAGGTCTAGTTAGGAGGGGGTGCGGGAAAATTAAAATAAAACCCATAAATATGAACGATGAAGACATAAAGTGGGAGGCCGGGAACGGTTTCGATATCCACACGAATGGCTTTCCGCAGGGCCGCAGCTTTAAGAGTCGTCATAATATTTTGGAATCAAGGCTGCACTATAAAACCGAATGCTAAACGGAGTCGTTTGGGAGGAGGTGGCTGCTTCCCAGTCGCAGCTGCCGTCGAAAGGCCCGATTGTCTTTTCGGTTTCCACTCCTTGCGCCTCAATGTGGGACCGTGTAATGGCTTTTCTTATTTCCTTTTTCGGGCACGCCCCTCGGGGGCGCCTGTTATTGGTTGGCAACGCCTATCTAATCATTTCGGTGTTGACACTTGACACTTGGAGAAAAAAACTGAAATTGCAATGTCTCTGTCTGCCTGCTGGGCCTTCCCAACCGAGAGGCGCGAGGTGTTTGTCTGATTTAAATGTAATGCCACTTGCCCTCCTGACTTTTCAACTTGCCGACAGTGCCGCGAATGAAAAGCGTTTAGCCATAGTAACGATTGTGTTGGCTGTGGATTCCAACACAGTCATAGTTAATGCCAATGTTTTCCATTTGAATTGAGATGATTTACAAGACGGACTTCTGCGCCTACAAATGGCAAGTTCTGTCACAACACTTTGTTGTTTACTAAGATCAAATACCAAGACTCTTTCCTTGTTTGCTTTCGAAGTTCTTGCCTCTTTAAGTTAGAATGGCAAAAGGAAACATAAATCAAGCAAAAGCATTTTCCATACATTTTTCCACACACAGAACTACCACTAAAAGTTAATACATACTATGTATATAAACTGTTCGAAACACCAGAAAGCGAATTAGTAAAACGAATGTCCCCTTTCCTTTACCTGAGTACCCGAAACTTACACCGCATTTTTACTTTATCCTCCTTTTCCTCAACTTTTTGAAGGTAAAGGTTGCTAGACATTGAAATTAAATTCGTGGAAATAACATTGCAATTATGCGGTGTTGGAGACGCTTGGAAATTGTGGCTCTGGGGATTTATTGCTGTACGAAGCGAAAGTTTGGCTTCTATGGACAGGTTCTTTTTTTGGTTACCTAAATGGCAAAGCTAATGGATTGGGTCTTTCCCTTCCTTGCGAAGGGTATTATAATTTTATAGAAGACTTGCTGCATCGTTAAGCAATTGAAGTATTTCCCTTATGTAACTATAAGGTTTACAAGTCTTTTGTTCCTTTGAACATAAGTTACCATGTATCCACGGCTTCTCCATATTGTTAGTATTAAATACCATAGGAAAATTTCTTGATCTGAGAGCAGCTTAAGGAGGCAGTTCTTAATACGAAGGGTCTCAACTGTACTAACTGCCCACTATCCTCGCCTCCTCCCCTCAAACAAACGCCAATAAAACGGCAGCAAACAATAGCCAGGCTGAAAATTAATCGAGGCCATTGCAACCGACGTAAACCGAAAGTCTGAAGTCTGTTGCAGACAAAGGATGCGCAGAGTGGCCGAGTAACAATTTAGTTTTTTAAGGCAGGGTTCTCCCCGATTCCCGATTCCCGGGGACCCCTGAACCAAAACTTGGAGCAACGTTTCGCTCGTATTATTTTCACACTCAACCGAACTCCGGAAATTCGCAATGCTTTGTTTTGCTTTGTCTGCACCGAAAGCGAGTGAGTCACTAAAAAGTTGCATTTTATTTGCTCTTCAAGACACGACGCGTAAATTATATGCTTTCCCTTTTCTCCGTTGCCAGGGCATTTGAATTTTCCCCTTCACTCAGTGCGCGGATGTTGCGACTGCGGCGCTTAATTGCCACATGCAACACATGTTGCCGCCGTCGCCTGCGGCAGCAACAACGCAGAAGCCAGAGAAAAAGGAAAGCTCGCAGATATTAATAGACAAAAACCATTTAAACCATTTTTTAATTTGGCCTTTGCGGGCGTAGGACAACAACTGCGACAGCAAAAACACTGTGAAGGCAAAAAAAAAACAATTTTTCCTTTCCGCGGTGCTACATTTCGTGGTAATTGTGGTGCGTTTTATGGCCCTTTTATGAAGGAAACAAGTAACTCCACAAAATAAAAAGGAAGCGAAAGAGTGAGTGAAATGTTGATAAGTTTGCTCATTGCCAAATTGCTTTTGCAGAGGTCGTTGACCGATACTATTTTGCTAATTGTGGCTGAAGTCATAATAATTTCGCCAGTAAATACCGAAAGAGTTTTATTCACAACCCACAAGCGGAGCAGCTTCCGATCGAAAATATATAAATTAATTTCGAAATGCTTCAGCTCCGAGAAGTCGAGCCCACAGTGGTTCCCAAAAGTACTCGAACCGGCGAGGGGTCTTGCCAGCAACTTGTTCTCCTCCGCCTTCGTCACATGCAAATTGCCATTCGCTGTGGCAACAGCCACCGGCCAGCCAGCAACTACAAAGTTTCCAGACCGCGGGCAGACCGTGGCAAGTTGCAACTCCGACTAGGGTCCGTGCCTCGTTGCAAGCAACTGTCGCCTCGGGGGCGGCGTTAAAAGGCCGTCCCGCGGCCATAAAAACCCTGCTCGCCTTGCGGCCCTCCCCTCCTGCCCCCCCCAATCTTCTCCACTCCTTTGGGATCCAGTGGGGGCGTGGGGGGGTGGGGAAGCAGGCCATGCCGCATGGCTTTTATTTTCGGCGACTTCGGCGACGAAAAGCAGCGAGCGGCAACGGCAACAAGAGCTGAATTGCGGCACATTTGCGACTTTGCTGCCACTTCCACTGTCAAGTTGGCGTAAAATTTTTCATTTCGCATATGAAAGGCAGTGTGGGCGCCGGTTTTCCTTCGTTTTCCCAGCACGCTCTTTCCCCACGGCCCCAGTTTTGCTTCTTCTGTTTTCGTTGTACGTTTATTAATTGCTCGAGTGCATTTTTGCGTCGGCGAAATGCCTGCGAAATTTTATTTTCGTTTGATAGCGCTTTAGATCTTTAGATCTTTTTCCCTTGAGAGGCTCCTAAAATGAAAAAAAAAAACTTAAACTAACTTTAGCCTCGCACGCCTTAATAGCAAAATCACCAAAATATAGGAGTCAAAAACGCTTGGCTCCCATTTATAGGCGAATATTTCTCAAGCTTGTCAAGAGCTTGGGAATTTCCTTCAAATCAGACCTCTTTTTTATAAACCTTAAATTTACATAGGCATCTCTGAAAAGACGTATTTCAACCCATAATTATATGAATGAAACAACAGCAAAATGATGAAACTGTTTTTCTTAATATTTTTATTTTTCTGATATTTCTTTTGCATATCTTTATTTTGTTTATATGTCTGAGGTAAATTTTCGTATACCTCTGGGGTGTTCATATGATATCAACTTAGCCGACGACAGTTTTGCAATTTTATTTTTTGTTTCATCAAGTTAAACAAAATATTGAGAAATAAAATTTAAGACAACGGATTTAACGTCCAACAAGATACTTTTTTATCTCGCGCAACATTGTTTTTGAGGAAAGGAATTTTGCCAGCCATCCGTATTGATTATTAGAGTATTCTTATGCAAGCTGTATAATGTAGTTAAGTGTATACCTTCAGTGAGAAGTTTGCCACCAGAGAAAGCCAAGTAGGTCACGGTAATACACAGCCTTTTTATTATTAACATTTTTGTTTTGCTTGGCTGATGGTTGTTCTCGCCCCACCGAAACTTTAAGTACTTTAAGTTGGTTGCTCAGAGGCCAGACGCGTTGCTTCCGGCTGCAAAAGGTCAAAAATCGGAGAGGCGCGGACCCAAAGGAACTCCTTCCGGCTGTTCCGAGCGGAACCTTCGTTTAGTTGCCGGCTGTCTGTATTATTGTATTTTGACACGTTTTGGCAGGCCAGCGGGGGTCTGCGGAATGTCGGAGCTCCGTCCTCTGGGTGGGTCTGGCATTTCACACAAATTTGTGCTGGCTCAGCCCTGGAAATCGTGCCGGAAAACTGCCAGCCCCTTCTATATTCCATCGCGCTGTCATGTGACAAAAACGCGACAGTTTGCAAGGTCACGTCACATTAATTTGCTGACAATGATGTACTTAGGGAGGCCCTAGGGAGCCCCCTCCTGCTTCGCACCCCTCGCTTGTCCTTTTTAAAGGAAGCCCAGTCTTGAATTCACCTAAATCCGTGTGCCTCTTTCTTTTGCAGAGCTCGGACATTAAAATGCGCCAACATTAAGATCGCCAACGTGTGAACCTGAAAATCGCAAGAGGAAACGAAAAACCAACGAAACAACAAAATGCCTGCAATAAAATTACACGACCCAAATTCAATTCATTCCCGACGAGGCCCCCAGAAGCATATCCACCACGAATGCCCCCTAACAATTGGAGCCTGCGAGCGGGGCTCCTGCCACTCGGCAACAAATTATTTTAAAAGTTATTGCCGCATTAGGCGTCATGGTGTTAATAACAGTAAAACTTTATGCGTGCTGACACTGATTTCGATTTTATTGGCCCACCGATTTGGCGTGGCAAAAGCCGTCGGAGAGCCGGCGGCAGCTGTCGAAGGATCAATTGGAGGCCCCTTTGGGGGCGTGGCGGAATCGCAAATCGGTGAGTATAAGCGAAAGCCAGCTGACCTGCAGGTCGCTTATTTTTTGACCCCGATGGTGGAGTGGAGGCGCTAGAAGGAAACGCAGTCCTTTCACTGCGTTTTTCACTGCTATGTTGAAGGGAACATATTTAGGGTGTAAGCTTAATGATTTGGTGAATATAAAACACGGTCTACGAAACTCTCCGAATTGTTTTTGTCATTTATACACCTCCTGTAATAAGAACCGATTTGGAGTTTTTTCAACAAACTGTTCTTCTTTGGCAGCGTAATAAAGCAGTGTAATGTAATGTAAAATGCCGTTCACTCCTATGACAAAAAAAATACAATTTTTCTGGAGACGTTCCCAAAACGAAAAACGTTTTTAGACTAGTCCAATTTATTAATTATGTTTTGTCCTTGCAGAGGATATTATAATTTAGTCAAATGTGTGCAAAGCAGTGAAGGAGACACCTCAGACCTCAAAAAATATAACAAGCATACTTGGGATTGGTTTTTCTCAGTAAATAAGAATTCTTGAAGTTTTATAATAAAATATGGATAGTTATACATAATGATAATAATAATAAGTAATTTGCATACGAGTTTAACCAAGTTGATTTAATTATTTGCTCCGTTTGAGTTAAATGCATTGTACATAATGGTTCTCTTCTTTTTTGGCACATATTTACTTTTAGTTTCTTTGGTTTTAACTCCCCGACATAAAGTTATTATTTAAGTTTATGATTAATTACAAGTTTAATTTTAAATTATATCGACTCGTCTGATAATCAGAAAGGTAAGGTTTGCTATTTAGCTCTCCGGGGTATAATTTCCCTCAACGAGGTAATAAAAGGCGTGCCAACTGAAAGAAATTGTGTTATTAAATTTTGCGACGTTATTAATGCTTTGAAATTATTATTAAATGCTTCAGTTTCAATATTTTTAAAACGTTATTTTATGAACAATTTTCTTTTTATTAACTATATTAGTGATGCATACTTTTCGCCGATATTCAATCAGCGTAAGCTGTTCTGAATTGATAAAAACTGTTGTTTTTGGTGCTTAATGACTTTCAGAGATTAATAAGCGGCAGTCGTCTGTGCATTTCGATCGAGCTTTTTCGATTAGGCAATGACCTACATTTGAGATTATTTAATATTTGTGGACCCCAACTTGGGTGGATGTTTCTAACATCATATATGAAGAAGAATGTATGCTTAACTTTAAAGGTTTGTTCCCATTGAATTGTTAATATTTTAAGGAATCGCCTGAGTTAGGAGCAGAAACAACTCGATTCAGGTGCACACAATAGTCGGTGCTTGGAGAGGGCTGTGCATTTGCATTTACCAATCAACAGAGAAATCAATCAACCACAAAAACGGAAAGGGTCGTGATCCTACTTCCCGGACTCCTCGCTCTTGGCCAGCGACTACTCCTCGAGTATTCACCAATAACTCAAAACCGTAACTAATAATTGCGGGCGAGGAAAGGTGAGCGGGAAGCCGGTGAGGTTCTCCGGCCGGAAACCCGGCACTCACTCGACCACAACCAATTACAGAAAATTTACGCAAAGCGCCATTGATCCGTAGACGCCTCACCCGTTCTCCGTTCCTGGCGACGTCATTAATAAACATGATGCGAGTCGTAGCCAAGAGGGGATAAGGGGGGTGGCGGAGGGGGATGGAGGGACGGATGCTTAATCGAAGCTCCTCATCGGCTCTTTTGATAGATGACTGCGTCTTTGGTCGCTCGGACAGAACATCTCCGCAGCCGCTGTTGCTCATTACCATTGCTGATTGGCCGAGACCCGGGCTTAAATGCCCAAGCCGCTCCCCCTCGACCCGCTCACGAGTGTGTGTGTGTGTGTGTGAGTGTGCGGTCGCTTTGTTATTATACACATCAGTATGTCAGTCTGTTCGTCCGTTGCTCTGCAGGTAGACCGCCAAAGATCTGACGATTACGTCATAAAACAAAACAAATGTTAACTTCTATGTTCGTTAAAACGCTAAAACTTATTTTTTTAACTTTGAATCATTTAAACCATAATAATATAAACCATAAATCATTACAATTAGTCGTTGATAAGCAAGGTAAGATAGTATTTACGATATACGATGAACAGAAATATTTAAATTTAATTGCTTGTTGCATTAAATGGAATGGAAATGGACCCTCTTTCATACAAATAAGTGGGTAAATAATTAAAAATCGATGTAAAATTTTTAAGTTTAATTGTAAGGATATATTATTTTCGAGAATTTTAATTTTAATTGCAGAATTAAAAGATATAATTATCAATTTTCCGAATGTAAACTAAAATACAGCTGTGAACTGATGGCCGCACGATGTTAACTGTTACAGGAGTTTTCAAATTTATTAAAAAATGTATATCTTGTAGGCTGCGGTTAGAAGATATTCTTTGTTGTGATTAACTACAAACTATTTATATCTCCTCTGAAGTAATCAGAAAGCTTTATTCATTGAGAGGTACATGTATAAATGGTAGATTATTTGCAAAGATAGAAGTTAGACGAGCTAATCAAGGCGAACTGTCTGAGTGTCTGTGCAGAATTTTCTAGCTACTTGAAATCTAAAATGCAGGTTCAAAAATTAGGGTATGCGCAGATAAAGCTTCTGAAAATTTATATTTGGAAACTACAACCATAACAAAGGAAGATTAAATACAGGTATTGCAATGTCTTATCTTTGTTTCCTGATCATTGCTAAAAAAAAAACGATTAATAAGCAAGTTACTGGTAAATAAAACTGTTTCAAAAAACCTGTCTGACCGAACTTGTCGAAATACAGAACACGAAAGCCAGGTATTGAATTTGAACCAATCAAAACCCAGAAAAAAGTGGGAGGGGTAGGCAGTCGGACAAAAAAAGACGAAGCAAAATGTTAAGCAAATCAAAATTAGGCAAATATCATAATTACTTTGTGTTCGTGATTCAGTAGTTATTATTGATTCTGTCAATTAGTAAATTGTAAGTAATATGCCCCAGGCCTTATAAAAAACATTTAGCAAGTCAAAAATACCGAATTTTTAGGATTGTATTGGCAGAATATCAAATAAATGCATCCTTGTATTGTTAGGTGTTGTAATCCCTGACACATAAAATATTAATATCCTAATATATCGCATATATGTGCCACATGTATGTGTATATTGGCACAGAACCATTGATGTAGACTAATTTTAGCGTCGCATTAATTTATTGTTTTGTCAAGCAACTGTGGAAAATTAACATATTTGGTTAATTACACTTTTGTTTTTTCGAGCAACGCACTCACCCGAAGTGAATGGGTTTTTCTCCCAATCAGGCCTGTGAATAATGCAGCTGACCAGACTCCACTTGACCCTTAATTGTTACCTGTCGCGCATTTATCATGCGAACCCTTGACCCCGAAGGAAACAATGGGCGGGGATACGTGGGGCAACGCACATTTTGAAACGATTTATGCGGCCGCTTAAGCGAACTGGGCCTTGCCATTATCAATTCGAGTTCAGAGTGAGACCAGGCTTAAAGCTTGGGGAAGGGCGAACTGGAGTCATTTTTTACTCGTTCGATGTACAGCATTTCGAACAGCTTTTCAACGCGCCTATGGTTAAATGATATATGGCAGACGACGTTGATTTATACTCCTGCAGAGGGCAATATAGTTTCCGTCAGCGATTTGGATTGCAGTGTACACAAGGTATATATATGATCCGTCTATACTCAAAACTAATTTAACAAATTTTATTATGTTATTTAAATTATATGATTATTAGAAAAGTACGGAAAAGTAGTATATAAAGGTATTGTTTCAAAAAAAAAAAAAAATGGACGTAATGGTCAAGTGCTCTGCCTTTTAGATATCCGTCAAGTTTACGTACTTATCCGTAAAATTTGCATCCTTAACTCCATTATTTTACTATAAAAACAATTACCGGAGTCTATCTTCAGATCTAACGGTTAAGGTCTGTATTAGACCGACGGAAATAGACTGTGTACTCGTATGATTTATGGTGTTTTTTTATTTATTAATGTAAAGAAATCTTTAAAAGCTTAAATAACATAAGATTTTTAGCATTTCCAAAAAAATTGCCTCATTTGAAAAGAATCGGTTTTTTCAAAAACTTTATTATAAGAAATTATAATACTCTTGTGTTAACGGTAAACCTGTAGACTTTACATGTAGATTTTAGTGAAGGATATGCTCTGTGGCAACACCAATTTTAGTACATTAGTAAAACAGCGCTTTTGAACGATACAAGAACGATCGTAACGATCATCTCGTCTGACAATACCTAAATTGCATTTCGGCTGCGGGTGTAGTTCTCTTTTTTATACATCTGCCCCTGAAATAACATTTAACATACCATGCATCGAATAGCTGGCAGCGAAATATGGAAGCCTACATCCTCTATTTACCAACAGCGGGCTTACTTGCTTTTAATTGCTTCTCCAGGATGCCCCTACTCTGGTCACCCTCAATTGAAAGCCAATTAATAAGCGTGCGTAATTTGTTTACCCAGTTCTTGAGTTCCTTTTCCAGGCTTCAGCTTACTTACATCTTCAACGAGCCATGGCCAAAAGTTCTATTTGGCTAGAGGGTGGGGATCCGCTGGGCAGTGACTACCTGGTCATAAAGCACGCCTTGTTGCTTTTGTTGTTTATGAGCGCCAGCAGATACGCGTCATTAAGCGCGTTTCTGGCGCGTTTTGCCCGCTGTTTCCGCGCTGTTTCGGTCGCCCAGAAACTTTTGCCAATGCCCCTGCGTTGTTGTGCCTCTGGAGGCGAAAGGGTGAAGGCTGGATACCCTGCGAGGCGATCTCGGAACGCCCTGGGCCTACTAGATGCGAAATGTACTTCACAAAGTAAACACCGCCTGCCTGTTTCTTGCCACAAAAGTGCGAAGTGCTCGATGGGAGGCTTGATCCCCTGAAAATGGCTCAAACCGCGTGGCAGCTCGGTGCTCCCCCGTGCGCACTTTGGCTGCACGGGAAAGTGTATCCAGGGTGTTTGCCAGCAAT